GCATGCTTGGTACTCATTTATCGACCCATGAAGGGAAGAAAGGCTGAGCCAACCTTGCCCGCTAAGCGCTACCACTCAACCATCAGCGTCAAATTCTAGTTCAAATATTTGTAAATAAAAGACACAAGAATTTGTATATAAAAATGTGATTGATGATTTCTTGAAACTTCTGGACCTTGGATTCCCAGATCCGGAGCACAATCATCTTTGTAAAAAACTATCTCTTGGTACAGTAAAAATACACTCTATTACTTTTGAAAAGGTAAAATAAGCCAGGGTTGCTACTCACATTTGAAAAAAAAAAAAAAAAATCCCTGTTTTCTTGTATGAGCTATATTGGGCTAACTATACTAGTTTAAATTGCTGGAAAAACTTAGAGAGAAAAGAGAAACTTCTGAACATACTTAAATATTGCAATAGTAAACGAAATAGTTTAGTATAGCTGAAATATCTATAAATATCCCAGATTGTACTTTGAGTAATCACCATTTTTTAAAAGATGAAAATAATTAACAAAATTAACTGCATTTTCCCAGTTATTTTTAAATTCTGTGTATTTTCCAAGTTTTTCCTGTTCTCCCAGTGGAGTGGCAACCCAGTTTTTTTTGTAATTTAGAATGACAATCAACACGTCAAAGAAAAAATCTATATTTTAAACATAGAAAATTAAGCACTTTTTACAAACCCTGAATAAAAAAAAAAGCACCCTTAAGGGCTTTTAAAAAAACGTAAAACGAAAATAAGCAGATTTAAGCACTTTTTAAAAAAGCTATGCACCTTATGAAATATCATCTTTAAAGATCTCAAAGATCCCATCCACTTTGATTGGAAATCACTTTTTGAAACACGAGAATAAAAAACAAATTCCCTGTACTTTCCCAGTTTGTAAAGAAAACTCATAATTCCAACATTTTCCCTGCTAATTTCCGTGATTTCAATGGGGACCATCCATCGAAGTAGGAGTACCCCAACATAGAATTGAGTTAACATGTTTCATATACTAGTGAATTGCAATTGTATTTTTGTAGTGGTAGGTGCACTATAGAGTGGTTACCATTTTTTAAAAGACGGAAATATGAAACGGAATTCCCTGTGTTTTCCCTGTTTCTAAAGAAAAACTCAAAATTTCCTGTTATTTTAGGCGGTTTTTACATTATCTGTATTTTCCAGGATTTCCCAGTGGAGCTTGAACGAACATGATTCAAAGAAAATATAGAATACCTGAACATCAAGTTGTAATGTAAAAAAAGGCTGAATAGACGCGGAAGTTTTATTTCCACTTGTGGTGAGGAATGATTTTATTTGTCCTCCTAGAAGATCAGATATCGGAGTCTTGTGTTCTGCAACCTATAAGAGGAGAGAAATGTTTTCTTAAATGTTAAAAAAATAAAATTAACAAAAATATTTGTACAAAATGCAGACATAAGAAGTTCAAAAAGCCTCAGAATTTTGGTGCAATGAGCCTAATAAGCAAATTAATCATGAAAATAAATGCAATTAAATTAATCAATCTAAAAGTGAAATTTATTCAAAGTAATTACCTTAATCAATTACTTGTTAGAACGTTTACAACCACTTTAAAAAATATCATAATTAGGATATGAGCATTAATAAAATTTCTTACTTTATATTGATGTAAGTTTCTCATATACGTGTAGTTTCTGACAAAGAACTCTTTTTTTTTATTATATCAGTCATCATAAAAACAATTTATGCACAATTTTAAATATGTTCAATGTGGCTCATTCTATTTTTTAAATGAATAATTACTTTACTTAATTAGGTAAAAAAAATTAAAAAACGATAAGGAAAAAATCTCATTTTTAAAATGGAAAAATTAATGCACTTTTTAAAAATTTCCAATGTAAAAAGCACCTTTAAGCACTTTTTACAAAAAGCTACACACACTGTATTTTTTAAACTATCCAAAAGTTAGTTTTCAGCATTAACCCTTGAACAGGCGTTGGAGATTTTTTTAGAAATATCTCCTGAAAAACAAAATTTATCCGAACATAAACCAACAAAATGTTTTTTCTCTTGCTCGTCCCCAAAGGCCCACTGATTACCTTAAAAGAACAGCAGGTTAAAATACTAACCTTTCTAGTCACCATTCCTTTATGTTTTGATCCAATGACTTGCCATTCTTCCTCTTCTGTTTCACTCTGATCACCATTTTCATCCACTTCATTTCCCACTTTAATAAAAGAAAGATTTTA